CCTTTTTTTTCCTCTTATTTTGCCTTTAGCTGTAGGTTCAAGTATACTGTCAACAAGAAAAAAATATAACATCACATAGCAGCAAAAGACAGCCTTACCTGATAAATGTGAATGTATTCCTCAGCAAGAGGGTAGTCAGGAAAGAGGTGGTATTCTACATCAAACTGTCGTATAGATTTAAAAACATCTGTCTCTACCATGTTATCAATAATCGTCCACTCGTAGGTCTCCACATCCATCTTAAGGACGTCAATCACTTTCTGATGATAAAAATGAGATAACATAAGTTAGAAGTAATTCTTACAGAACTGAAATGTCTGCAAATATTCCTAATATAACTGATGAAAAGTAGGATGAGATCAGAAAGGATAATATCAGGAAAAAGGTTGGGCAGAACAAGTTCTTAACTACATCAAGAGACAATAGATCAAATTGCTTGGGAATGGATCAAGTCTGCCACGGGATAGTGCATCACAGAGAGTCCTGTCACACAGACATAATGGAAGCAACTAGAGATTGACCATTTAGACTGGATAGATGGAAAGTCTGAGACTGTAAACACCAACGTCTTCATTGCACATAACAAAGCTTGCACCAAATGACACTTCAAGATATGATGCTGAAAGGCAGAACCCGACTTGAGAAAAAGAAGAAGTAATTAGTTTTTCCTCTCTCTTTGTCTCCCATCTACACGTCTCTTTCCTTTCTCTCCCCCTCACTCATAATGTCTCTCCTTTTCCTTCTCCTCCTCCTTCTGCTACTGCTTCCCTTTTTATTTTCAAATTAACTGTGACACACAGAATAAATATGACACAATAATTGGGAAAACATTTGTATATGTGCACATATTTATGTTCAGTAATTGTGATGTAAATACAGAAACATCACAAGATATAAGCCTGTTAATTTATTTGTGAATGCAGTGTAACTGTGTTATGGATGAAGCGTAACTGTGTAGTGGATGAAGTGTAACTATAAAGTGGATGAAGTGTAACTGTGTTGTGGATGAAGTGTAACTGTATTGTGGATGAAGTGTAACTGTGTTGTGGATAAAGTGTAACTCTGTTGTGGATGAAGTGTAACTGTGTTGTGGATGAAGTGTAACTGTGTTGTGGATGAAGTGTAACTGTGTTGTGGATGAAGTGTAACGGTGTTGTGGATGAAGTGTAACTATGTTGTGGATGAAGTGTAACTGTGTTGTGGATGAAGTGTAACGGTGTTGTGGATGAAGTGTAACTGTGTTGTGGATGAAGTGTAACTATGTTGTGGATGAAGTGTAACTGTGTTGTGGATGAAGTGTAACTGTGTTTTGTATGCTGTGTAACTGTGTTTTGTATGCTATGTAACGGTGTTTTGTATGCTATGTAACTGTGTTTTGTATGCTATGTAACGGTGTTTTGTATGCTATGTAACTGTGTTTTGTATGCTATGTAACAGTGTTTTGTATGCTATGTAACTGTGTTTTGTATGCTATGTAACGGTGTTTTGTATGCTATGTAACGGTGTTTTGTATGCTATGTAACTGTGTTTTGTATGCTATGTAACGGTGTTTTGTATGCTATGTAACGGTGTTTTGTATGCTATGTAACGGTGTTTTGTATGCTATGTAACTGTGTTTTGTATGCTATGTAACTGTGTTTTGTATGCTATGTAACGGTGTTTTGTATGCTATGTAACTGTGTTTTGTATGCTATGTAACGGTGTTTTGTATGCTGTGTAACTGTGTTTTGTATGCTATGTAACTGTGTTTTGTATGCTGTGTAACGGTGTTTTGTATGCTATGTAACTGTGTTTTGTATGCTGTGTAACTGTGTTTTGTATGCAGTGTAACGGTGTTTTGTATGCTGTGTAACGGTGTTTTGTATGCTATGTAACTGTGTTTTGTATGCTGTGTAACTGTGTTTTGTATGCTGTGTAACGGTGTTTTGTATGCTGTGTAACTGTGTTTTGTATGCTATGTAACTGTGTTTTGTATGCTATGTAACTGTGTTTTGTATGCTATGTAACTGTGTTTTGTATGCTGTGTAACTGTGTTTTGTATGCTGTGTAACGGTGTTTTGTATGCTGTGTAACGGTGTTTTGTATGCTGTGTAACTGTGTTTTGTATGCTGTGTAACTGTGTTTTGTATGCTATGTAACTGTGTTTTGTATGCTGTGTAACTGTGTTTTGTATGCTGTGTAACTGTGTTTTGTATGCTGTGTAACGGTGTTTTGTATGCTATGTAACTGTGTTTTGTATGCTGTGTAACTGTGTTTTGTATGCTGTGTAACGGTGTTTTGTATGCTGTGTAACTGTGTTTTGTATGCTGTGTAACGGTGTTTTGTATGCTGTGTAACGGTGTTTTGTATGCTGTGTAACTGTGTTTTGTATGCTGTGTAACTGTGTTTTGTATGCTGTGTAACTGTGTTTTGTATGCAGTGTAACTGTGTTTTGTATGCTGTGTAACTGTGTTTTGTATGCTGTGTAACTGTGTTTTGTATGCTGTGTAACTGTGTTTTGTATGCTATGTAACTGTGTTTTGTATGCTATGTAACGGTGTTTTGTATGCTATGTAACGGTGTTTTGTATGCTATGTAACTGTGTTTTGTATGCTATGTAACTGTGTTTTGTATGCTGTGTAACTGTGTTTTGTATGCTATGTAACTGTGTTTTGTATGCTGTGTAACTGTGTTTTGTATGCTGTGTAACTGTGTTTTGTATGCTATGTAACTGTGTTTTGTATGCTATGTAACGGTGTTTTGTATGCTGTGTAACTGTGTTTTGTATGCTATGTAACTGTGTTTTGTATGCTGTGTAACTGTGTTTTGTATGCTATGTAACTGTGTTTTGTATGCTATGTAACTGTGTTTTGTATGCTATGTAACTGTGTTTTGTATGCTATGTAACGGTGTTTTGTATGCTATGTAACTGTGTTTTGTATGCTATGTAACTGTGTTTTGTATGCTATGTAACTGTGTTTTGTATGCTATGTAACTGTGTTTTGTATGCTATGTAACTGTGTTTTGTATGCTGTGTAACTGTGTTTTGTATGCTGTGTAACTGTGTTTTCTATGCTATGTAACTGTGTTTTGTATGCTATGTAACTGTGTTTTGTATGCTATGTAACTGTGTTTTGTATGCTGTGTAACTGTGTTTTGTATGCTGTGTAACTGTGTTTTGTATGCTGTGTAACTGTGTTTTGCATGCTATGTAACTGTGTTTTGTATGCTGTGTAACTGTGTTTTGTATGCTGTGTAACTGTGTTTTGTATGCTGTGTAACTGTGTTTTGTATGCTATGTAACTGTGTTTTGTATGCTGTGTAACTGTGTTTTGTATGCTGTGTAACTGTGTTTTGTATGCTATGTAACTGTGTTTTGTATGCTGTGTAACTGTGTTTTGTATGCTGTGTAACTGTGTTTTGTATGCTGTGTAACTGTGTTTTGTATGCTATGTAACTGTGTTTTGTATGCTGTGTAACTGTGTTTTGTATGCAATGTAACTGTGTTTTGTATGCTGTGTAACTGTGTTTTGTATGCTGTGTAACGGTGTTTTGTATGCTGTGTAACGGTGTTTTGTATGCTGTGTAACTGTGTTTTTATGCTATGTAACTGTGTTTTGTATGCTGTGTAACGGTGTTTTGTATGCTGTGTAACTGTGTTTTGTATGCTGTGTAACGGTGTTTTGTATGCTATGTAACTGTGTTTTGTATGCTATGTAACTGTGTTTTGTATGCTGTGTAACTGTGTTTTGTATGCTGTGTAACTGTGTTTTGTATGCTATGTAACGGTGTTTTGTATGCTATGTAACTGTGTTTTGTATGCAGTGTAACGGTGTTTTGTATGCTGTGTAACTGTGTTTTGTATGCTGTGTAACGGTGTTTTGTATGCTGTGTAACTGTGTTTTGTATGCAGTGTAACGGTGTTTTGTATGCTGTGTAACTGTGTTTTGTATGCTGTGTAACTGTGTTTTGTATGCTATGTAACTGTGTTTTGTATGCTGTGTAACTGTGTTTTGTATGCTATGTAACTGTGTTTTGTATGCTGTGTAACTGTGTTTTGTATGCTGTGTAACGGTGTTTTGTATGCTGTGTAACGGTGCTTTGTATGCTGTGTAACTGTGTTTTGTATGCTATGTAACTGTGTTTTGTATGCTGTGTAACGGTGTTTTGTATGCTGTGTAACTGTGTTTTGTATGCTGTGTAACGGTGTTTTGTATGCTGTGTAACTGTGTTTTGTATGCTATGTAACTGTGTTTTGTATGCTGTGTAACTGTGTTTTGTATGCTGTGTAACTGTGTTTTGTATGCTGTGTAACAGTGTTTTGTATGCTATGTAACTGTGTTTTGTATGCTGTGTAACTGTGTTTTGTATGCTGTGTAACTGTGTTTTGTATGCTGTGTAACTGTGTTTTGTATGCTATGTAACGGTGTTTTGTATGCTATGTAACTGTGTTTTGTATGCTGTGTAACTGTGTTTTGTATGCTATGTAACTGTGTTTTGTATGCTATGTAACTGTGTTTTGTATGCTATGTAACTGTGTTTTGTATGCTGTGTAACTGTGTTTTGTATGCTATGTAACTGTGTTTTGTATGCTATGTAACTGTGTTTTGTATGCTATGTAACTGTGTTTTGTATGCTATGTAACTGTGTTTTGTATGCTGTGTAACTGTGTTTTGTATGCTATGTAACTGTGTTTTGTATGCTGTGTAACTGTGTTTTGTATGCTATGTAACTGTGTTTTGTATGCTATGTAACTGTGTTTTGTATGCTATGTAACTGTGTTTTGTATGCTGTGTAACTGTGTTTTGTATGCTATGTAACTGTGTTTTGTATGCTGTGTAACTGTGTTTTGTATGCTATGTAACTGTGTTTTGTATGCTGTGTAACTGTGTTTTGTATGCTATGTAACTGTGTTTTGTATGCTGTGTAACTGTGTTTTGTATGCTGTGTAACGGTGTTTTGTATGCTGTGTAACGGTGTTTTGTATGCTATGTAACTGTGTTTTGTATGCATATTATTTGTGTTACCCAGTATCTCATAGTGATGAAGACAACGGCTCTTCAACTTTTCTGATGTTCAAAATCAACTGTTCCTGTTATCTGTCTTTGGTTTCAATAATGATCTACAATCTCATATCTACAAGAATAAGATACAACAAAGGATAAATGTGAAAATTTATATCTTCAACAGTCTCTCAAACTGTCAGGATCTGACACTGGTTCCTTAATTCCACCAATCATAGACTTACATTTTCATGACCGAGTTCCTTCATGATGGCCTTGACTGTTCTAACTTTCCAGGTCTGATTGTCCTTGACATAGATATCATGTCTGGGTAAGAAGGCGTCCGTGTTGTAGCTGCCGATGCCCATGTTGTGGAATGTTGAATTGTTGGCTCTCTTGTGGTCCTTCTCCTTCATACTGCGGAACACAGGACAAAGTGGATTGTGGTAGTGAAGTGACACAGGATGGGGACACACACACACACAGACAGACAGACAGACGGACAGACAGACAGACACACAGACACACACACAGACAGACAGACACAGACACACATACACACGCACACGCACACACACAAGACTTAAAGACATGATAGTAGCTTCTTCTTATAGTCCATGTCATGTGGCATCTGTAAGTACGTTCCATCTATAAACATCTGTCTCGCCTACCGTCAGTTAGTTCGGACTAAGCTGATTCTCCACGCCTTGTAGTTTTGATCGTGTCAATCTAGTCTCTGTCGCAAGCAGTGTCCATTATTTCTAACACACAGTATTAATATTCATCGATGCCATGATTTCTCCTCCTTTTAATTCCTTTTCTCTTTCTTCTTATTCTCCTCCTCCTCCTCATTCTTGTTCTTTTCTCCCCTCTGTTCGTCTTTAGATAACACAAGAAAAATTATGGCGGGATGGGGGTGGGGAGAGACAGACAGAGACAGAGGAGACGTAACATTTAACCTGGGATCCAATAATGCAGGGCTACTCAACAAAGTTGACTCAGGACAAGGCTGTTGAAAATGGGCATCGCTAGGGTCCAGAGCCCTAGCATAGGAAAACCGCTAATAGGATAGAGTTAAGAATGATCTGCGGGCCATATGCTAGTCTTCCATAGGCCAGATCTGGTCCATAGGCCACCAGTTGAACAGCCTTGAAATAGGGAAGAGAGAGAGAGACAGAGAGAGAGAGAGAGAGAGAGAGAGAGAGAGAGAGAGAGACAGAGAGAAGACACAATTACCTTGGGATCAAATAGGAAAGAGAAAGAGAGAGAGAGAGAGAGAGAGAGAGAGAGAGAGAGAGAGAGAGAGAGAGAGAGAGAGAGAGAGAGAGAGGGAGGGAGAGAGAGGACAAAATTAAATTGTGACGAAAGAGGAAAACAGAGAGACAGAGAGAGAGAGAAAGAGACAGAGAAAGAAGACACAACAAACCTGGGATCAAATAAATGCACCTCACATCCCAAATCAGTCATTGCATCATCAAAGCCAAACTCCCAGTTGATTCTGTGGAGCACAGACAAGCACAGTGTTGTCGTGGACATGAAAACACAGACAAGCACAGTGTTGTCGTGGACATGAAAACACAGACAAGCACAGTGTTGTCATGGACATGAAAACAGAGACAAGCACAGTGTTGTCATGGACATGAAAACACAGACCAGCACAGTGTTGTCATGGACATGAAAACACAGACAAGCACAGTGTTGTCGTGGACATGAAAACAGAGACAAGCACAGTGTTGTCATGGACATGAAAACAGAGACTAGCACAGTGTTGTCATGGACATGAAAACAGAGACAAGCACAGTGTTGTCATGGACATGAAAACAGAGACAAGCACGGTGTTGTCATGGACATGAAAACAGAGACAAGCACAGTGTTGTCATGGACATGAAAACACAGACAAGCACAGTGTTGTCGTGGACATGAAAACAGAGACAAGCACAGTGTTGTCATGGACATGAAAACAGAGACAAGCACAGTGTTGTCATGGACATGAAAACAGAGACAAGCACAGTGTTGTCATGGAAATGAAAACACAGACAAGCACAGTGTTGTCATGGACATGAAAACAGAGACAAGCACGGTGTTGTCAGGGACAAGAAAACAGAGACAAGTACAGTGTTGTCATGGAAATGAAAACACAGACAAGCACACTGTTGTCATGGACATGAAAACACAGACAAGCACACTGTTGTCATGGACATGAAAACACAGACAAGCACACTGTTGTCATGGACATGAAAACACAGACAAGCACACTGTTGTCATGGACATGAAAACACAGACAAGCACACTGTTGTCATGGACATGAAAACACAGACAAGCACACTGTTGTCATGGACATGAAAACACAGACAAGCACACTGTTGTCATGGACATGACAACACAGACAAGCACACTGTTGTCATGGACATGGAAACAGAGACAAGCACATTGTTGTCATGGACATGAAAACACAGACAAGCACAGTGTTGTCATGGACATGAAAACAGAGACAAGCACATTGTTGTCATGGACCCGAAAGTAAATAAAAATTGGACAGTATCTGAATGCACGATTTTCAAGAAAACGTGTTTCTTTAACTCTTTCACCACCAAACGTTTTGTTGTGTTTTCGAAGATAATATAATGTTCTTGCTGGCTAGCCGCTCTGGTCCCAGATAACAGGTATATTATCCCTCTGTATCTCAGTTATTAAGTTTAAATACATCTGCTAAACGGTGTCTCATAAAAAATTAAGGACCGAAAGCCTTGGCTTGCACGGACAAAGTAAAAGTAAAGCATGCAAAGGACAGTAGCCAGGCTTGACCAGTTTGCATCTGTAAGCATTGTCAGGTAACGATTACATTGGGGAGGGTTTCATGTAAAATTCCCCTTCGCCCCTCGAGAATTCGCTGTTGAGAGTATGCGTGCACAGCTAGCACCATAGTACCAGTAACTAGTAGCTTTTACATGTTACAGTTTCTCATGAAGCGAACCTTCTGTTTGCTATGTTCATGACGTAAACTAAGTGGTGTATTTGTAATAAATAGTAAGCATAAATAATAAGTAGTAAAGTAATAAATATTTATTTGGCAATGGACAGTGTAAGTTGTGATTACGGGTGTTGCGTACACCCAGCTGTCATTAGTAAAGGATTTACTGTCAGTATCACGGTAGCCTGCTTTACTTCCCCAGACTTCACCTAGTATCCATTTTAGGCTTTTGCCCTGGGAGCCAAAATCAGTTACGAACAAATCTGACTGGATGTGAACTCAAAACCTTTGAGTCAGCAGGCAAACGTTTAGCCACTTTTTTTACCCTAGCGCCTAAATACACACATATAATAATAAGCTGATATAAAAAAGATAAAGAATCCACTGTGGTGTAGTTGTTTTATGTTCCCTTGCGAGCCGAAGTTCGTGGGTTCAAATCAGAATGGGGCTGGCCTTTTTTTTTAATCACCTTCCCTTCCAGGTCGACCTAGCCTTAAATGGGTACCAAGTAAAGACATGAGAAGTAAAGGCGGCTACTTGATGTTGACCATATCACCAACCGAGTAACGATTTGTCTATAAAATATAGGTCTAGTCTGATAAGGCCAGTACGCCTAATGGCGGGGGAAAATGTTCTAAAATTTGCATAAAGATAAGCAATATGGCAGCAAACAGACAATATAAAAGTTCAGCCACTTCAGTCTACTATTTTCAGAATCTTAATCTAAAGAATTGTGAAGTGTGAGTTGAGTCAAGAATTGACATCACAGCACTCGGGGCATTTACAGGTATGCTCGGTCCCCATCTTCAGCAGCCAGCGCAGAGTTCCAATACTGATAGTACCGGTCACAATCTGGCTATATGTCCATCTTGCCTTTCCTCTGAGTGAAGTAAGCAGGCCAGACCCTATGGTAACACCCAGGTGCCTCATTCTCTCCAGGCCATAATAACCATCTTTCTCTGCTGATTCCGTTGCTTGTTCCCAAAGGGCCTTGACCACATCTGAATTGCCAGGTATCAGTTCACAACCCAGTGGTGCAGATCCAGCCAATCTGGCTGCCTGATTGTGAATTAAAGGAACTTTTCCACACCCTTAGGTGTATTGAGAATACCGGGTTAGACCTTCCTTGTATAGACCAATCGGTTCCTGGTGGGTGGTGGAGTCAACATTACGCCGCCTCAGAAATGATCAAACCAAGATCAAGTTTCGAGAGAAAGCTAAACACTGGTGTAAGATACCCACCGTCCAGAGTTGCATAAATACTAATGACCTTGGTAACTCACCCGAAAGAATAGACCAGGCATGGAGGCCTGATGATGTAGGGTTCATCCTGGCATATCAGCCAGTTTCCCACGTCCTGTTTTGTCTTGCATGTGTATCGAACTGGAGCTTGCATATACCTGGTCACGTGAGGGTAAAGGGTGCAGTTGAAAACTGGGTACTTGGAACAGACTCAGTGGTGATTTCGATATGTCTTCTTATTTCATACTATTAGTTTTTTTGCTTAAACGAAACATTGTGGCTGCAACAACATTGTCATCCTCATCATCGTTAGGGAGAAGGAGAGATAGAGAGAAACAAATAGTTTATGTTGGCACTCTGAAGACTCCCTGTTGCATTAATGCTTTATGCTATTTGTTTTTCTGAGACTGCAGTCTGTCAATTTTGTTGCCAAGACAAGGGCGAGCAATAGACATCACTATGTGTGATTTCCCTCGGTGCAGGAAGCGAGCAACTATGGAGTCCCCGTCTGCTCTCACGTTTGAACTGCGAATATCTAATATATAATAATGGATATGCTGACGATTATATTACGATGGTGATGATAATAATGATGATGAACATGATAATAACGATGTTTGAAGATGATAATGGTGTTGATAAAAAGGATGATGATGATGACCGCAACGATTTAGACGATAGTGATCACAGTAAGGAGGGGTTGAAATTTCACCATAGATGCCAAAAACGGTGACGACAATAACGGTGACGACAATAACGGTAACGACAATAATAGTGACGACGATAACGGTGACGACAATAATAGTGACGACAATAACGGTGACGACAATAACGGTAACGACAATAACGGTGACGACAATAACGGTGACGACAATAACGGTGACGACAATAACGGTGACGACAACAACGACCATGACAACAAGGAACACCCACCAGTCTACCAGGGCAGCTGCCGGCCACCAGGTAGTGATTGTCTTGGGGTCATTTGGGTCAACCATCACCTTCACCTTCTCGGCTTCCGTCATGAAGACTTGTTCATATTGCAGCAGGAGAGCTGAAAGAGAGAGGGTCACAGATTCAGTCATGAAGCAATGCTGCAGCAGGTTTCAATTAAAAAGAACACACTCCCCATGTTGATTCCGAGGTTCCGTTCCAGGGGGAGGGGGATATAAACCTTGCTTCCCTAACAAGCATGTCGTAAAATGCGATAATTATAGAGTTTCCTTTAAAGATGGAGTGCATACGCCTGAGAGTCTCATAACAAACAGTCTGCATACAATAAGCCAGATCTGTTAAACACACAAAACTCAACTTCCGGAACAAGACCAAAGTCCAGAAGTTGATTAACAACCACAACTTTCTACCATAGTTTACAGACGGTGAACGATAACAAGAAGAAGTAAAGAAAAAAAATAAGGAACGAGCATAAAGAAGGCGGGGCTGAAAAGATTAAATTTTAAAATGACCAAAATCATGTGTGTGCGTGCCGTTCATCTCCTTCCGTAAAAAATGTGAAACCCGAGATCAAAAGCCATAAAGAAAGATCTGAATCTGGATGGCAAACCAACAGTCTGCACCCGAAGGTATGACACCAAAAGTCTGAAAATTGACTCAGTGCTGGTGACTGAACAACAGGGCAAGCCCAGGTACCGTGTTCAGACTCTAAGGAAGTTATAACTAGGGTGATCTGAAGGACGCATACTCTAGTGTCATGGCGTACATTGGCTGGCCTTGGATTCTGCTTGTGTGATCAGTGCGTTTAGGGCACCACAACTTGGGACCTACTGGAAACAGTCACATCCCACCCTCTCCAGTAGTATTTGAAATGTGGTCTAAGCCCTACCACGCCACCCCCCCCCTCCCTCTTTTCCTCAGAAAAGATATAAAAAAAGAATATATATACAGGGAGGGGGTGGAGGTGGGGGGGGGGGGGGGGGGGGGGGGTCACTCAGCCTGGTCAGCCCACAATCTACTTATTCATGTGACATTTTCTCAAATATATATTTATATTTATGTGCCCTTTAACACATAAACATCATCATCAAACAAATAACACCCCTGCCCCCCCCCCCCCCTTTCCCCAACGGAATTGATGCCAGATGCAAAAACAATCACCTAGCTAGATACAATTTTTTAGTTTCCGCATGCGTACTTTCTGATTAAATGAACATGCTTAAAAAGATCTATGATAAATTCTCATCTGAGAATAATCTGCTTCCTGTATGCGCCAAGACACGTTGTGGGTAAGAAGAAATAAAGGATCTGATTGGTTTGCTGGCAGGGCCAGGGTAGGTACAAGAAAAGCAATGGACATTCTCTCAAATTCAGAGTGAACCTGCCTTAGAAGCAATGAATCAACAGTCTACTTATACACAAACCACGTTTGTTAAATCGATGTGCATGCAAAACTCAAGCTTTGTATCAATACCAAAGTCCAGGAATGGGTGAAACAACACAACCTTTTACTAGAGTTTCTGCCAGTAAACACCAAGAAGAAGGAGAAGCAATGGGCCCAGAAGATGTTTAAATGTTCTCAAGGAGTCACGACCAGTAGGTGATTCCAGATTTAATTGTGAGTCCGCAACCGTGACAAGACTACAAGAACTTCAAAGGGTGTTGCCAGATATAAACACTCATTAGGGTTAGCTGCGTATCCTTTACAGGACGTTGCAGAGCCAACCCAACAGCCCCTGGATGTTGTGTGGTTTTTCTAGGCATTTACGTCCAGTATTTTGCCATTGCTTGCTGGACGGTCGGCTTTCTTAATACCACTGTCGAAACCAACGCAAGGCACATGGTCGGCAGCTGGGATCAAACCCGGCATTCCGCCATTACGAAGCGTCCGCATCGACTTAGCCACAGAGGCGACTAAACACTGATACATGTAGCCAAATAAGAATAGTAAACTAACACAGGACTAGTGTGATAGTCACCGCCCTCTGAGGAATATACTGCAGATAGGATCCGATCATATGGACTATAGTCCATTCTAGAAGCGGTGACTATCTTTAAACATATATAACTCATCAAACGTTCTTGTAAGTTGTTCAAGCTTGGCATGCAATCTTGTAGGAATTGTTTTATCAATGTAAACAAACGCCGATTCACAGCAAGTAGGCACCTGCAGCTGAGAGCACCCCGTCCCCTTTTCGCCCCTGGAGACAGCCATCCTTGGAGACAGTCGCCTCTAGAGAGAATGACCCCTGCAGAGAGTTGGGCGTGTCCTCAAAAATAAATCTGAACAATGACAATGCAATCTTGGCGAGCAAAGAGCAAAGGGAGGGGAAAAAAAAAACTAGATCAAACGCATTTCATAATCGGAACTAGACTACAGATCGTGTGAGGTAACCCATGCTAGCTGACGCACCCGAATGGCATGTTACATAACTTTTCCCCATCTACCCAGCCACTGAAATCCAGCATCAGGTGTTTCGAAAATGCATATTTACCAAGCATAGATCAAATAACAAACGCCAAGGGCGCCGACACACATAAAACCTAGAGGCGGGGTCGGCGGCTGACTGCCCTTACACATGTGTTTGTGTTCTGAGGGGGTGACGTCTCAAAGGGTCGAAAACTTATTTGAGTTGTCAATAATAATAGTAATAATAATAATAATAATAATAATAATAATAATAATAATAATAATAATAATAATAATAATAATACTGTACGGAATGGTAAATAAATATATTCAAAATAAAATGCAAGGTCAAAACACAAAATTTAAACAAAAAATATGAACTTATATGTATGGTTGGGGGTGGGGAAGCTTCTTGCTATTGCAGATTTAGGGGGAAGGGTTTTGAGCCACATTTAGGGAGTGGGGGGGGGGGGGGGTACTCTGTGTTCCTAATCACCCACGTTACAGAACTCCTGAATAACACACATCACATAAATCGCAATGTCAAATGTAACATTTCATGCAGAGTGACATTAGTGGAGGGCGCCATTGTTTGTTTATACGTCTTACACAGAAATATCAATATTATGACAGTTTCTACTGCACACTTCTGCGTCGGTGGCGATGGTTGTAACTGTCGGTTGAATCGATCCTGATGCCAGCCAAGTTGTCAATCTGTTCTTCGCGTATGTCTTCGTGCTCACAGCTTCATTCATAACGTGTTAGCGACAACATGTCAGTTACAGCCAGAAGCAAACAGAGGACCCTTGTCCACACCTTCAGGTGTGTTAGGCATTTAGACCTTGGCCTATATTTTTTAAAGCAATCGACACTGGGTGGGTGATATGGTTAACATCACGCCGGCCGCCTTTGATTCCCAGGACTTTACCTGGTACCCATTTAAGGTTGGGTCGACCTAGATCCCACAATCATTAAAAAAATCTATCAGGGTCTGAACCTGTGACCTCCGGATGCGCAGGCGAGTGTCAAACAGGAACAACTCTTCGGCTCCACAGCCCTTACCAAAAAACACACACACAAAAATCACCAATTAGTTACACGGTAGGTTCCCAAGTTTCCCCATTGCCATCGCACCCAGTTTATATTTTTTTTAAATCACTCACAGCCGGCCCCTTCCCCGTTTATCCCTGTAAATTTTATCATCATCATCATCATCATCATCATCATCATCATAATCATCATTATCCTTATCATCATCATTATCATAATCATCCTCATTATCATCATCATTATCATTATCATCATTATCATAATCATCATCATTATCATCATCACAATTTGTCATGTCATCATGGCGGCGGTGATTTACCACCCTACATGATCACCAGATGATGTATCAAGTCAATGATCTTGTCCCACCCCAATTTTGGCGCTAAGCCATCAAGGTATATATCTGAATCCCCCTTTCCCCTCGCCATACTCTCTTCCATCAATCTTGCCAGTTGTCACAGGCAAGTTCTGGAGTCTATTCGCTCTTTGGGAATGCAGCTTCTGTAGTCAAGCAAAAAGACAGCCCCCCCCCCCCCCCATCACCCACCCCCATTCCCAACCCAAAACTGACCACCGCAGGTACCACAAACTGAGCCCTCCCAGCCCCAGCTAGACATGACGTAACCTGCTGACATGTGTGGGCTGGAACCTAGTTCTTGTAAACGAAACATTTTAATTCCAAGAGTTGAGTTGAGTCAATAAGTGACATCACAGCACACGGGGCATTCCCGTGCGTGCTC